TTGATCCTTGTTAAATCTTGAATGGTATACTACCATGAAACCTAGGGCATGCTAGTCTAGAAGTTATCCTCAACTTACAACTTTAATGGAGCCTCATTAGTCATAACTAATGATGGTTGTAAAACAGGTTGGTCATGTGACGGACCCAATTTTACAACCTTTTTTGCAATAGTAGTTAAGCAAATCCACACTTGTTAAGCAAGTGCCGCATTCATTCAGTTAAGAAGCAACGGATAGAAACTGACCAAGGAGAGAAGCAACCTAGAATTAAGGAGAAACTTCCTGACAGTTAGAACAATTAACCAGTGGAATAACCTGCCTCCAGAAGCGGTGAATGCTCCAACACTGGAGACTTTTAAGAAGAAACTGGATAGCCATTTGTCCGAAATGGTATAGGGTTTCCTGCCTGAGCAGGGGGTTGGACTAGATGACCTCCAAGGTCCCTACCAACTTCATTACTACTACTACTACTACTACTACTACTACTACTACTACTACTAACCAATATGAAGTACCAGTTTTTGTCAAAACCATTGTAAAATGCAGCCATATGGCCGCAGAATGTGGGAATACCTGTCCTAAAGCTGCATTTCCCAAAGGCAACTGGGATTTTCTTGGGGTTTTTTTTTTCCTAGAAAACATTTTGCTTCTCATCCAAGAAACTTCTTCGTTTCTAACTGAAGCTTTTTGGATCAGAAGTAAAATGTTTTCAAGGGGAAAAAAGGCAAGAAAGACCTGTTGCCTTTTTGGAAAAAGCATCTTTGGGACAACTGTGACCTGGATGATTGAGTCTCCACAGACACTAAAATGGCCGTAAAAACAGCCATGTTGCCAAACACTCAAAATTCAGTCACGTGACCACAGAAGGGGCTTGACTATTTGAACTTTGAATCTAAGTGCTAAGTAGCTTCAGGATAAGCCTGACATAACACGCTGGCTGAGGAATTCTGGGAGTTGAAGTCCACAAGTCATAAAAGGGCCAAGTTTGGAGAGCCCTGCTTTAAACAGTTACCAAGCGAATAGTCTTAAATGAAGAACTACTTGTACTAGTTTGAAAAAAAAAATCTAGAAAAGGCAATAGGAAAGCACTTTTGTATTATTATCAAGGAAGCCGGACCAATATGTCCGACTATTTTTCAGCAATCTAGTTCAAATCAAAGAGGACTTCATGAAGATGGCAATACTCGCTTTTCCAGTAGTTGGTGGCAGATCTGGAACTGGCTGAGTCCTCACTGAAAGATTGCTCAGTCAGATCCTTTCAATGTGTGAGAATGAAGTTACCAGATTTTCAAATAATTTGAAAATTCTAGGAAGGTTTCTCTACTCTTTTCTTGAAAGACTTCAAATGAAATCCTTCTAAATCTTAGAAGATTTCTATTTGTTTATCTATTTACAGTATCTTCTCTTCAATCATGTCTGATGAAACCACACAAAGAAATCTCTCTAGAGATTTCTTGGGAAGGTTTTTTCAAAAGCAGTTTGCCATTGCTGCCTTTTTAGGGCTGAGCTAGAAGACCGGTCCAAGCTGGTTTTATACCCTAAGGCAGAATTCAAACTCAGGATCTCATGAATTCTAGCCTGATACCTTCACCTCCACACCAAACTGGCTTTCATCCCTTTTGTTATTTCCACGCAATACAAACTGGTGGATCAAAAAAAATTAGATACACGAGCATCTATTCTGCTAAAGTAAAGGATTATTTCCCAGTTACGTTTTTTAACTTTGCCAAAGAACAGAGCAATAAAGGAATAATCAGAGGCAAATTGGGCCACCTTGAGGATTCATTGGACGGTGGATTCGTGCGTAGTAAATTAATACATCTCCATCCTAGAAGGATGTTACTGATGGTTGATTCAGAAAGTACAATACATCAAATGACACATTTAAGTCGATTAGTTTCAAGTTTCTTACATTGAAAAAAAATCCACACAGAATAAATAAAAATATGCCTAATGCATTGGGGCACTTCTTTCCACAAAAATAAATAAAAATCAATCCACAGAAATACAAAACGTTCTATAGGAAGAGATTTGCATCTCCTGGAAATGGATTAAACTTCATTCCAGATTGTTCATTTGTGATACACATTGTCTGGTGGAGTTTACTGGATTTTTTTAATAGAATTCTCTCCCCGAAGAGATTCCCTCCTATCTTTAATTATGATTAAATACCACCTGAGTAGCCACATTACCAATGCAAATGCTATGCACGATTCCTTCTTGGTCAGGATTGTAAGCTAATTAACAAAACAAGAGAATGCCAGCTTGCATCAAATGTAAGCCAAATAGTACAGTTAGTCCTCAATTTACAACCACAATTTCTACTGCTAAGGTAGATGGATGTTAAATCAGCAGTTCCCGATTTTACAATCTTTTTTGTCACCGTTGTTAAACAAATCATTGCAGTTGCTAAGTGACTCACATGGTCATTAAGCAAATCGGGCTTCTCCCATTGACTGTGCTCGTCAGAAGCCATCTGGGAAAGTTGCTAATGACAATCACAGGACCCTGGGACACTGCAGCCATTTTAAATACATGCTACCCAAATTCTGATCCCATGTCCATAGGAATGCCGCAAGAACCAGCCATAGGTCACTTTTTTCAATGCTGGTTTAACTTTACTAAATGAATGGTTGTAAGTCAAGGATTATCTGTGTTGGTATTGTCTTTGTCTTCAGAAATTATTACCGTTAAGATTTGATAATCACTCCCTTTGATCAGTATGGAGGAATTTCTGGAGTGATTTGTCTACTTATAGTCCTCAACTTACAATAGAGCCCCAAATTTCTGTTGGCTAAGCAAGACAGTTGTTAAGTAAGTAAGGCCTGGAGACTAAAACATACAAAGAACGGCTGCGGGACTTGGGTTTGGCTAGTCTAAAGAAAAGAAGAAATAGGGGAGACATGATAGAAGTGTTCCAGTATCTGAGGGGCTGCCACAAGGCAGAGAGGGTCAGTTGTTACCCAAAGCACCAGAGGGAAGACGAGAAACAATGATTGGAAACTGATCAAAGAGAGAAGCAGCCTGGAATTAAGGAGAAACTTCCTGACACTGAGGACAATCAACCAGTGGAACAGCTTTGCCTCCAGAGATCGTGGGTGCTCCGTCATTGGAAATTTTTAAAAGAGACTAGACATTCTCTGAGACGGTGTAGGTTCTTCTACTTGAGCAGGGGGCAGGACTAGAAGACCTCAAGGGTCCCTTCCATCTCTATTCTATTCTATTCAATTCTATTCTATTCTATTCTGTTCTGTTCTACTCTACTCTACTCTATTCTATTTTCTATTCTATTCTATTCTACTCTACTCTACTCTATTCTATTCTACTCTACTCTACCCTACTCTATTCTATTCTAAGTTTTGCTCCATTTTACAACCTTTCTTGTCACAATTGTTAAGTAAATCACTGCAATTGTTAAGTTAGTAAAACTAAGTGTTAAGTGAATCTGGCTTACCCATTGACTTTACTTATCAAAAGGTCACAAAAAGTGATCACATGATCCTACGACACTGAAACTGTGGTAAATACGAGTCAGTCGCCAAATGTTTGAATTTTGAACACATCAGCATGGGGAAGCTGCAACGATCGAAAGTGTGAATAACAGTCGTAACTCACTTTTTTCCATGCCACCATAACTTTGAACGGTCACTAAATGAACTGTTGTAAGTCAAGGACTATCTGTATTATTCTGATTGTTTGATTGGTTTGTTTCCCTTCTAGTTTGAAGGTAGCATCCCTCTATATATTAGTTGCAGAGAAAGAGTGGCAAAATGTGAAGTGCTTCCGGTTGTGAGCAGAGACATCTGCTAGGTACTAAGAAAAATAAATGCTGGATTAGGATGGAGCAATTTAGCAGGCCTAGTCTGATGTTCTTCTGACCTTACTCAGTAGAAAAGAAACTGAATCGGGGGAAAAAACTGGACATCATTTAGGGTCCAGCTGTGTTAGACACTTCCAAGAAAAAGGGCAACAACACCAAAAAGTACAAAACAATAAATACATCTTCTTGGAAGAACCATGATGTTTTTGCAGCCTGACACACTTTCTATAAAGACATCCAGTTGCAAGGAGCCAATCCAGACAGTTTCAGAAAAAGAAAGCTCAGCCAGAAGTCTCCAAAGACACACTTCGGATTCAGAGCCAAAGGACTCAAACCACAAAGAAGGAAATGGGTTTAATAGGGAAAAAAATGATTTGATCAACATGTATACTAATTAAAGTTAAATGAGGTTAATCTTCATTCATTTAAACACACTCCCCTTATGTCACATTAAAAATATATAATCTTATAACTTTTGAAACTTTCTGAAGACTACACTCAGGACTTCGCAAGGACAAACAGAATCCTGAATCCTCAAATTATGGATGTCTCAGTTAATCCCAAGCCAAAATGGACTTGAAGCCAGGCTTCCAAACCTAATGCACTTAGTACATTTGACCTACTTAACTAAACAGAATACAAGTAGTCCTTGACTTACAATAGTTCGCTTAGTGACTGTTCAAAGTCATAACAGCACTGAAAAAGGTGACTTCTGACCATTTTCCACACTTATGACTATTGCAGCATCCTCATGGTCATGTGATCAAAATTCAGACGCTTGGGAATTGGCTCATATTTATGACAGTCACAGCGTCCCGGGGTCATGTGATCACTTTTTGCTGCCTTCTGACAAGCAAAGTCAATGGGGAAACCAGATTCACTTAACAACCGTGTTACTAATTTAACAACTGCAACGATTCACTTAATAAATGTGGCAAGAAAAGTCATAAAATGGGGCAAAACTCACTTAACAAATTTCTCAGCAACATACATTTTGGGCTCCATTGTGGTCCTAAGTTGAGAACTACCTGTATAAAGAGACCTACTTTATTTTTCAAGGACCCTCTCCATTTTTGAGTGACCTCAGTTCACCAGAAAGAGGACATCCCACTTGTGTCTATTCTTTCCTACAACTCAGTGTGGGGTTGAGCCCATTAGGAAAAGAGTACATGTCACTTACCGTCGCTATAATCTATGGGAGCATAGGCACCTAGGAAAAGAGAGGCTGCAAAGCTGCTCACCAAGGAAATTTTCTGAAGAAAGGAAAGAAAAAGAAGTAAATGAACAACCAAGCAAGCAAATAAACACATGGCATTTGTTTCTGTTTCACAGAAATTCAAAACAGATTTTTGAAACTCCCATTGAGCTCAGCAAGCACTTAAAACATTGTTTTCAGAAAGAGGATTTGAGAGTGCTTAATTGTTGCAAGGTTTTGCTTTGATTTTTTTTTCTTTTTGAGAGTTGCAAAAGACTTAAACTACCAGAAACCTCTCTCTCTTCCTCTCCCTTACACACACAAACCCATGGATTTCCAACAAACTGAAAAGAAAATCTTTACAAGAGATTATGGGGGAAATAAGAGGAGGAAGGAGTATTACGTATACTCACCTCCTGGAGTTACTTACAAAGTAATAAGGATGGGATAAAATCAAATAAATAAATAAATAAATAAATAAATATTTCATCTTCTCTGCATCATTTTATATTGGGAGGAAATAGATCAGAGTCTAGCTCTACTCACAGCGTCTGCCATTAAAAGGATGAAAAAGCAAGAAGACCAGAAAAACAGCTTCTGTTGATTGAAATCATCTAAGAACAGAGGCAACTAGAATCTTATGCTACAACTGGGTTTCCAAACGGTGCTAAGCCATACAGTAAACTCTGATTTATTCCCCTACTCATACTCAGCATTCCCAGAATCCAAATATTCTGTTTAAATGTGTCATCTCAGTCACTTGCTCAGATGGGCAGCCACAATGTGTTGGGATGTAGTAAGGAGGTGGGTCCCTAGGAGGGAGGGGGTGCATCCCAGAAGAATAAGAGACAACCCAATCCAGATATTTTGTGCGAGAGAAAAGGGTGAAGACCGTCCCTCCTTAATAGTTCTCAGACTATGTGAGAGATACTGAGAGGAAAGTACTTAGTCTGGCAAGATTTATCTATCTAGCTATCTATCTAGATAGATAGATAGATAGATAGATAGATAGATAGATAGATAGATAGATAGATAGATAGATAGATAGATAGATAGATAGATAGATAGATAGATAGATACATCTCTCTCTCTACCTACCTATCTACCTACCTACATCTATCTACCTACATACATCCATACATCCATACATCTAGCTAGGTAACAAGCTAGCTAGCTAGCTAGCTAGCTACCTACATCCATCCGTCCATCTGTCTGTCCATCTATCTACCTACATCTATCTATCTACATCCATCCATCCATCTACCTACCTACTTACTTACATCTACCTACCTATCTAATCTACCTACATACATACATCTAGCTAGCTAGCAACTACTTACCTACCTACCTATCTCCATCCATCCATCCATCCATCCATCCATCCATCCATCCATCCATCCATCTATCTATCTATCTATCTATCTATCTATCTATCTATCTATCTATCTATCTGTTAAATTTATTGACCATCCACCTTACCCTAAGGTAACTCTGGGTGATTTACAATATTAAAAAGATAAAGTTTTACGAAGCTTACGCACAATAGGAAGTAAGTGATAACAAGATAAATACACAACCCTAATTAAAAGATGGGGAGGGAGGGCATAGGATGAGCAGGGGGGAAGGTGGTATCTCTTATTACTGTCAATCATCCGCAATGTGAAGACCTCTCATTGGGGCTCCAAGCCAACCAGCAGAGCCAGTCTTTAAGCATTTCAGGAAGGTCAGGAGGCTTGGAGATCCTGTCTGTAGGTGTGGAAACAATAAAGAACTAAGCTTGGAAGAACCACACGTGTCAGTCTTGGCTCTAGGGGCTGACATCAATCTTGACCTCTACTCCCTCCGTCTCTGTTTACAGCAGGGTTTGCACTCCTAGGATAATATAATACTTGATGATCTGAGCTGGTGATGATCTGAGGTGATGTGAGATGGGGAACAGCTGCAAATAGAGAGATAACTTTGCTCACTCACCCGTCCCGCATCCCCAGCTGTGCAGCGCAGTTCCTAACAGGCCACGGACTGGCACTGATCCATGGCCTGAGGATTGGGGACCCCAGCTCTAAGGATTATTAAGGGGAGGCTTTCTTCACCTTCTTTGTATAACACAAACTATCTGGACCCTCTTATTCCTTTGGAATGTGCCTTCTCCTTCCTGGGAATCCAGTTTACAACATTCCATCACACTTGCAAATTTAATTAATTAATTAATTAATTAATTAAATAAAATAAAATAAAATAAATCATGCAAGTCGGGCTCTTAGATACCAGCAGGGAATATCGTGAGTCGAGTTACAAAAGGGGTGTTATTTGTATCGTTCCCTCATTTGCCCCTATCCCCTACTATCCGTGGATACCCATGCACGCGCTCAGATCCGATGCATTTTGAAAGTCACTCGATCAAAAGCTAATTTAGCTAATGTTTGCAATGCATTTTGGAACTGCATTGCAGGAGACAACCAATTTTTTTTTTAAAAAAAAAAAAAGGAAAATAAATTCATCAGTTAATAATCCCCATCTCTAATCATCCCCATTTTCTATAGGGGAAGGGATCATATCTAGAATTGCATTTCTGGCATAAAAGTAAGCCTTCAGTTAACAAAATAGCTAATATTAACCATTCAGATTAATGTGATGCAGCATCAGAAGCCACTTCTATTGAACCTTTTTGCATAGATTTCTTTTCCATTTTCTCTTTAATGAGGGGTTTTTTGTTACCATATTTTTGCTAATGTAATTTGTACCAGCATTGTGATAAGTTCCCCTTGTAAACCATAATAAAACCTAAATTAGTTATGATTCCCAATAAATGAGGAGAGGATTAACAAACCTCAGTTTGTGAATAGACTTCAGGATCCCGGCTGTAAATCTTCGCTATCTGGTTTCCTGTAAAACGCTGAGAAAGGACAGGCTACTAATATTTAGGAACACAAATTGCAAATAGAGTCAATAATAATTAACTCAGCATAATGAGTCCAAGGCATTGCACCCTGGATATTTTAATTTATTAAAGGCGTAACAGCAGTTGCTATTTAAATGCAACAGGCATAAAACAAATGATAATGCATTGATAGGTGAATGTTTAACTCACCTAGGGTTTAAAAAGATAACTGAAAAATAGATTTCTCCATAATATGTATTTCAGAAACAATAAATCATGGAAAGTGATGTTTCTGAACATTTAGACAAGATTTCAAAAATTTGCAGGAGTGATTCATTCATATCAGAAGTGAAATCTGCAACATAATTGTGTGCATACCTGGAACAGTAGTGCAAATGACCTTGGGAGACTGAAGAAAGAGTTGCTGCCTTGACAATGTCTATTAAATCAGCCTTTGAGCCATTGGGAACTGGGCGGCAGAAATGGCGGGCAAGTGCATGAACAGGTGCTCCACTTGTGCAAGCAGCAGGCGGGCAGACGGCTGCACATGTGTGCGTGCTTGTCCCCCACTCACACGGAACCATCCCCTTTCCCCCCCCCTCCCCTGCCAGTGTGCAAAGCGAGAAAAGTTGGGGAACTCTGTATTAAATGACGTTTAATACAAATGAGTCTGGGGGGGGGGTTGGGGGGGGTGGAGATGGAAAAAGGATCTCAGAATGACCTTCCGTAGTTTTCAGGAGTAAAAAAGTAAGGGAGGGGAGAGATAACCTTCAGGCTTGCAAGATTCAGTTATTGCACCCGTATTATAAAAATAAAGTTGGGTGTTTCTTATCTGGACTACCTCAAAAGGTTGATGTCAAATCTTGCAAATCTCCTTTGGGATGTGTTCTCCACCACCACCCCTCATTCGAACGAAGATTTTGATTTACCAAACTGTTGTCTACGCTAGGCTGTGTCTCCTGCTTCTGCTGTCTCTCAAGGTCAGAGGTCTCCAAACTTGGCCACTTTAAAACTTGTGGACTTCAACTCCCAGAGTTCCTCAGTCAGCCACCCTGTTCAAGGTCATTCTCATATACTCCTAGACCAGGGGTAGGCCACCTTGGCTCTTTTATGACTCGTGGACTTCAACTCCCAGAATTCCTGAGCCAGCATGGCTCATCTTGGAAACTCTCCCTTTCCCCTCAGCATGGCTGGCTCAGGAATTCTGGGAGTTGAAGTCCACGAGTCATAAAAAAGCCAAGGTTGCCTACCCCTGGATTAGAAGATGAGACTTCAGGCCATACAAATCCCTCAATCAATTGAACTTAAGCAGGACATTTTGGAAGCCTTGAGGGGAGTGTGTTGGAAGTAGAAATGGTTGATCTCCCAGACCTCTCCCATTCTCATCCCCACCTAATCATGAACAATTCAATCCTGTCCTCTTCCAGTTTCTTTATCCATCAGTTCGTTTCATGTGATCTTCTAGAACAGTGGTTCTCAACCTGTGGGTCGGGACCCCATTTGGGGTCGAACGATCATTTCACGGGGGTTGCCAAACAATGCAGTCCGCCATATTTTTTTCCTGTTTTCCTTAGCTGTGCTACTCCCTTTTATTCTATTGGCTTTTGAAAGCCAATAGAATAGACTCTCTTGAATAGAGTCTAATTCTATTGGCTTTCAAAAGCCAATAGGAATTGTCCAAGCTGTCTCTGCCCTGCTGAGCCCACCAAAAGTCCCATTCTGCAAACGGTGCTGCAAGTTATTTGCAGCGAAGGCGAGCTGTGTGGAAGTTTCCACCCCTCCTTGCTGAGCAATTACTAAAAATGTAAGTAAAAGAGGGCCAGGGGTGGGAGGTGGGAGGCTGGCGGGCGCAGGGAGTGTTGCTGGCGCGCGTGGGGCCCGGTGGGTGCCTTACCTCCCATGAGCTGGGCCAGCTGGTGGCCCAGCTGGTAGATCGGCCTGCGCCGTCGCTGCCCCTTGCCAGCTACGCCTCAGCCGGTGCAGGGGGCGGCACCACGCACGCGCGGCTCTCCCAGGCAGGGAAAGTCCTCGACTTACGACCGGTTGGGTAGTCTTTGACTTACGACCGGTTGGGTAGTCCTCGACTTACGACCAGTTGGGGGTTGCGGCATTAAAATGGTTGAGAACCACTGTTCTAGTAGATTTAAAGCCAGCATGAAGATCCTGATCCCACAGGAATTACATCTTCCCTACTCTAGTGATTTGAGCAGTGTTGTTCAACCTTAAGGACTTTAAGATGTATGGACTTCAATTCCCAGAATTGCTGGGGAACTTCATGCTGACTGCCGAATTCTGATAGTTGACGTCCATACATCTTAAAAATCCCCAAGTTTGAGAAACAATAGGTTAGAGAAGGGATCTAGCACGCTGGCCGAGTTGAAGTCCACAAGTTATAAAAGGGCCAAGTTTGAAGACCCCTGGGTTAGAGTGTTGGACCAGAACTAGGTTCAAGTCTACCATCACTGGATGGCTTTAATCAGTTGCTATTTCTTAGCCTGAGCTAACTCATCAAGAGAAGGATGAGGACAAAACTAAATCAAACCACAATAGAAGAATTGGTTGCTTCCATAACTAGATTTTTAAGTCTGAAATTTCTACTTTACTTCCTTTCTATGGTATCTCCAAATAATCTTGTTGTCTATTGAGTTTCAATCCCAATTACTGTGGGATGGAAGGGCCCACTTAAAATCTAGTTACAGTATTACTCAGATTTGGAAGACCTCATAGGTAGTCCTTGACCTACGAATAGAGTCTGGCAAGTACAGTCGTAGGTCTTGAGGGTGGTAAAGTAGGTCATCATGTGACTGACCCAATTTTATGACATTTACAACAGTCATTAAGCGAACATGGCAACTGTAAAGCAAATGTGATGGTCATTGTTCTCTATAGGCATTTTCTGGCGGAAACCAGAAATAAATTCTGGTTTTCATAAAAAAAATCATAATTCACTGTCATGTGACTGTGGGAACCCTTAAAAAGGCTGTAAATGCAGGCTTGATTGCTGAGTGCCCAGAATGTGTTCACATGGCTGGGAGGGGGGCTGGAGTGAGGCAGCCATCCGAACTTTGGAACTTGTTCATAAGCACCTTTTGGGGACTCTGTCATAAGTATAAGTGGTCCCTAAGTGACTGGTCTACACGAGTCCCTTCAAACAATTTTTTTCCTACAAACCTGCCAGTATAATTGTTTTCTTAAAGAAGCCCACACATTTTATTCCCCCCCTTACATTTTCTCCTCCATTAGTGAGAATATCAGCTGAGATCTAAATCAAAGTTATGTAACCTGAAGCTACAAAACACACATGGAAGCTTCTAATTGATTTTTTATTGCAAGAAAAAGGGGAAATCACTAATAGAATGGGAACTGTTGCATTTAAAACAGGAGTTCCCAACCCCGGTCTCCATGGAACCGGTCCCTAGCGCCCAAAAGATTGGGGAGCTCTAATTTAAAAGATCTGTTTTTAGTTTTAATTGCTTTTTAATGTAAAGTAGAGAAATTCAGTTTTTAACCTGCTTCTTCTAGCTTTGAGGGAGTGCAACTCCACAGATGAATGCTCAAATGTTTAGCATGGATCCCAGGCTGAAAATATTTGTGTGACCTGATCTAAACATTGATTCTTTCACAGAATACAAAGCAGAACCACCTTCCCACCCCATGGCTCCCCATTTTGTCCTCCCCACCAAAACAAATGTACAGATAGCCTTCAACTTATGACCATAAGAACTTCAACGAACAGAACTTATGAACAATTGCTAAGTTGTTAAGTGAATCATGTCCTATTTTACAATCTTTATTGTCACAGTCACTAAATAAATCACACAGTCATTAAGTGAATCCAGTTTCTTCCATTGACTGATGGTTGGGAGCCCCTACAGAAGGTTGGAAATCCTTGCAACTGAACTAAATAAATGCCAGTTGCAAAGCACCTCAATGTTGACTGTGAGGGTATTGTGATGGTTGCAAGCGGGAGGTCTGGTTCTAAGTCACTTTTTTCAGTGTTGTCATAACTTTGAACAGTTGTTAAATGAATGATCATTAAGTTGAGGACTGCCCATAGTTTATGGGAAGAACACTGGAAAGGAAGTCTTAGACCAGGAGTCCCCAATCTCCAGTCCGTGGACCATACCGGGCCGCAGCATGCCAGCAACTGGTCCACATAAACAAGAAAAGCCCCATCCGCGGGATGCAGACAGCACACAAAACCACGCCCCTCTGATCCGCAGAAAAACCTCTCTCCTCGGAACCGGTCCCTGGTGCCCAAAAGGTTGGGGACTTCTGTCTTAGACCATGTTCCCGTTAGACCTTCTTGGTCCTCTCCTCTACTGTCTTCTCCAAACAGCTCTCACCTCATAAGCTCGGGAGCCAGTGATGTCGGCTAATTTCTGAGCCCCTCCGACCTTTTTTTCCAGAGAATTACACTGGGCAGCTGTGCTGGAATCCATCCAGATTGGACTATTGCTGACAGAAAAGCAGTTCTGTTGGAAACAAGGGGTGGAAAAGACAGCAGAACAGCAAGTGAAGTCAGAGTTGCAAGTTGGTTTAAGACAGGGGTAGGCAACCTTGGCTCTTTTATGACTCGTGGACTTCAACTCCCAGAATTCCTGAGCCAGCCATGCTGAGAGGAAAGGGAGAGTTTCCAAGCTGACCCATGCTGGCTCAGGAATTCTGGGAGTTGAAGTCCATGAGTCATAAAAGAGCCCAGGTTGCCTACCCTGGTTTAAGACAATACAAGTAGTACTCAACTGAGGGCCACAACTGAGCCCAAAATTTTCGTTGCTAAGCAAGACAGTTGTTAAGTGAACTGTCCCCCAATTTACCATACTTGTTAAGCGAACCACTGTCGTGAAATGAATCATGTGGTTGTTACATGAATCTGGCTTCCCCCATTATCTTTGCTTGTCGGAAGCTGACTAGGAAGGTTACAGATGGGGGCCTCGAAACCCTGCAACATAATAAACACATGCCAGTTGCCAAGCACCAAATTTTGATCATGTGACCACAGGGGTGTTGCAATGGTCATAAGTGTGAAAATCAGTCATAAGTAACTTTTTTCAGTGCCATTGTGACTTCGAACAGTCGCTAAAAAAATGTTGTAACTTCAGGACTATTCGTAAAGTCAGGGTCAAAAATTGGCTTAGCACAAAAGTACATCTTACTTCTACACTAGAATGTATAACTGAAATGGTGCAGAGGAAATATTTTAGCAAGGAAAAGCAGACATTATTTTACACATTAGACATTATTATCTACTTTGAAACATTCATGTCACAGCAAAACTTACTAGAGGCTATACCTAAGCTATGTGACCCAAAGTGAAAAACAAGAGGCAACTGGACTTTCTTGTTTTTCTTTGAAGACGTTTTGCTTCTCATCCAAGAAGCTTCTTCAGCTCTGACTGGATGGTGGGGAATGGAAGGATTTATACTCCTTGCAGACAGCTGGTCATTTGCCTTCTTTTAGGGAGTCATTGAAGCTACTTGGAGCTTAAGAAGCTTCTTCTCATCCAGTCAGAGCTGAAGAAGCTTTTTGGATGAGAAGCGAAACGTCTTCAAAGAAAAACAAGGAAGTCTAGTTGTCTTTTTGACAACCATGAGCTCGATGGCTGAGAATCTCCATAGACCTTGGCTCTTTTATGACTTGTGGACTTCAACTCCCAGAATTCCTTAGCCAGCATAGCCATAGACACTAAGCTGTGTAAGAAGCCACTTTTTGCTTTTGATGGTGTTTTTAATTGTATTAAGCAACCCAGGAAGGATGCATTTTCTAATACAGGTAGTCCTCAAATTACAACAATTGAGACCTATCCTGTCTTTAAGCAAAATAAAATATTTTTCCTAAAACATCAAAGCAACGTTGATTTAAAAGCATGCTCTAAAAGAGCTGTTTTTTTAAAAAATCACCAACAAAATCATAAACTCAGGAGGAAGAACACTTTAAAGAGATGCAGTGACTACAGGACAGTTTGACTCAAAATCATTGCAAACAAAATCCATTACTGTCAACAATCTTTCTCAAATATTCCTTGAAAATATTCCTCACACAAGAATCATTTCACTTCAAACATTCTGTGATTATTTTGACCTTTTACTATTTCTTTTGATTTGACTATATTATTTTAAATGTTTTATTTAATTGTTAAACTTAATTTTAATTTTTAATGCTCTTGTATTTATGTTCTTATATTATTGTAAGCCACCCAAAGTTACTCAAAACAGTTACGACAAGCGACATATTAAATAAATAATAAATAAACAAAATTTGCTGAGTAAATTTGACTCCAGAGTCTCTAAATCCCAGCATTAACCTCATTTTTTGATGTATATGTCTGAAATGCAAACCTGCAAAACCTTGTCCTCACATTAAGAGAACACGTTGGGTCAACTAAATAGGTCTACCTTAGTTGAGTACAAAAAAAATCACTAAGTGAAAGTCAAAAACATCTCTAGGACCTATGTGGATTTTTGCAAAAATGGCACCCTTAAGTCAATCCAGAGCTTGGTACAACAATGAAATCAGTACATCACAATTTTATTTGTCTATTTTATGAAGACAGGGACAAGTAACAATCAACCTCCCCTGCTCTTTTCTTTCCTAAAGACTATATAAATCTACGTAAAGAAAAATCCATCACCTTGTGAGGTAGTATCAGCTGCATTTGTTCTTAGCCAAGAAAACTATAAAGCATCTTCTACGGCAAGGCTGTCAAACTCAATTTCATTGAGGGCCGCATCAGCATTGCAGTTGTCCTCGTGGGGCCGGGTGGGTGTGGCCAGGGTGGGTGTGGCCTACTCTACATCGTTCGCGTCAAGGGTGCCTATAAGGGCCTGGGCAGGAGTGGGACGGATCTGGGGGTCTCTGGCAGAAAGGAGTGGGACCGGGGCAAGTGCCAAGGCATGGTCCATTTCTTCATTCCTCACAAAGGGTGATACCTCCCCAGCATGCACCCAGGGGGCGGGGCCAACACAGCAGGGGCTGGTTCCTCGCTGTTTCTAGACGGCCTTGTGGAGCTAAGACTGAATACGTTTCAGCATAGAGGGCCACCACAAAATTGTACATTGGCTCCCGGCTGGCCTGGACCAGGCCAAGGCAGTGGGGACCGTTCCCTCACTGTTTTCAGGATGGCTTTGCGGGCCACATGAAACCACTTCGCGGGCCGCATCCGGCCCCCGGATCTTGTGTTTGACATGTCTGTTCTACGGGTTTTCTAAGATCAATCAATCTTAAGGTCAGCGAACAAGAACAAGTTCTAACTTCCTCAAAAAACCTCTGGAGACAGTTACCTTCAGTGATTGATGTATAGGAAGAACAGGTGATAAATTTTGCAAAACAGAGCTTGCTCCTTCTTTCCAATAGACACTTCCATGTTGCTGTTAAGTTAGGAAAAATAGAGAAAGAGGGTTAATACTGCGATTCCCATTAAATGTTAATAAAAGTGCATACCACCAGCACTGAATAATATGAGCAAAGGTGAGATTAAAACAAATATTTACTCCTACAAAAAAATAGTCTTTTTCTAAAATTTTCTTTATGGTTTCCTTCTATAATGGCATACCAGGATCAAAATATATTTTAGAAAATTATAAACCATTTCAATAGACAGATAGATAATAGATAATAGATGGCAGAAAAATGATAGAAAGATAGACATACTGGAATAGTTTGTATGTATGTAGTCAAACACACACAAACACAGACATATTATGTTATATCCACACACAGAGACATATTGAATATCTCAACTAAAATGAAAACCAAAATTAAAAATAAATTTAAAAAAAACAAAGCAACAAGTTTTTATTACTTAGAAAACAGAAATGGTAATCATAATCCCAAATTCTAAAATGTATTTTACTGCTCAGAGGTAGGAATTAAATAAATTACAAATTGACTTTCCACTTCAAAAATAGACATGCAACATATTTTAAAAAGCCCAAACTATGCAGAAAAGTCCTAATCTGTACTGGCCAATCAACCACACACAGAACCCTCAAACCTCCAGGCCCCTGGTAGAGGAAGCAAGGGAAGAAGACATACACCACCTATAGGGGGGAAGGGAGGAAGGAGGGAGGGAGACAGGCAGGCTGATGGGAGGGAGGGAGGGAGGGAGGGAGGCAGGCAGGCAGGCAGGCAGGCTGGAGGGAGGGAGTTGATAGGAGGGAAGGAAGTTGATAGGAGAGAGGGAGGGAGGGAGGGAGGGAGGAAGGGAAGGAAGGAAGGAAGGAAGGAAGGAAGGAAGGAAGGAAGGAAGGAAGGAAGGAAGGAAGGAAGGAAGGAAGGAAGGAAGTTGATAGGAAAGAGGGAGGATTTAAACTGAAACATATAGAGCCCAAAGCATCTGTTTTCCATCATCATCCCCCTCCTTTTAACTAACCTGTCCAGCTCCAGACAAAGCTTTTACAGCGGAAAAATTAAACCCTGCAGATTTCATCTTTTCCAAAATCAGATCCAGGGCCTAAAAAAAATGAAAAAAAAAATTGCAGAGTAATTTCAGTATTCTTGGAAATTTGAAAATCTCACATGGCTCAGGAATAAACAGAAAAGAGGTGCCAGGCGTATTCGTGCTTTTAGCATAAAAACAATATGGCGGTCACAAGACTGCCACTGAAACCCTGCCCCTTTTCCACATAAGAGCCTGGATGGGGCAAGGCAGTCGTGCAAACGCCTGGGTGACACCTCTGTTCTACGAGTTGTACGGGTTGCCAGTTGACTTCTGAGGACATTTCAAGATCACCATCAATAATGCCTTTCATGGTTCAGAACCAGGTTATCTATGAAACCGTATCTCTTCCTTTTTTGCTTCTTCATGCTATTAGCTCTAGGAGAGCAAGTATCCTCCAGGTCCCATCACTGCAGTCACCTTATCATCTGGGACAGTGGTTCTCAACCTTTTTAATGCTGCGACCCCCAACCGGTCGTAAGTTGAGAACTAAACCAGTCGTAAGTCGAGGACTAAACCGGTCGTAAGTCAAGGGCTACCCAACTGGTCGTAAGTCGAGGACTTTCCCTGCCCTGGAGCGCCGCACATGCGTGGTGCCGCCCCCTGCGCCGGCTGAGGCATAACTGGCAAGCGGCAGAGACGGAGCAGGCCGACCACCAGCTGGGCCACCAGCTGGCCCAGCCCAAGGGAGGGAAGGCACCCGCCAGAAAAGGGGAAAAAAATGGCAGACAGCCTTGCTTGGCGACCCCCGTGAAATGGTCGATCGACCCCAAATGGGATCGCGACCCATAGGTTGAGAACTGCTGATCTGGGACCTTGGAGATATGGAGTGATGGTGACGTCCTTTTTAGGAGATAGATAGCATCCACCCCCAAAGACTATCACCTTCCTTTCCTTTCCTTTCCTTTTCTCTCCTCTCCTCCCCTTCCCTCTTTTTTTCTTTCCTCTCCTCTCCTCTCCTCTCCCTTCTCCTTTTTTCTTTCCTTTCCTTTCCTCTCCTCTCCTCCCCTTCCCTCTCCTCTTTCCTTTCCTTTCCTTTCCTTCCCTTCACTTCCTTCCAAACTTGGTCACTTTAAGACTTGTGGCTTTCGAATGTCAAAATTCCCCACCCACCCTTGAAGTCCATCAGTCTTAAAGTTGCCAAGGTTTGACATCCCACGACTACACAGTCCCAAATTTATGGTCAGGCCAAACAACACAGAAGTTCTATTAGCCCCAAGATAGGACACTTTGCAATCCACCCTGATATTGCAATATTGTTCTTAAGTGGTTGTCTACCCTAATACATCTTGGGGGTTTTCTTATTCTTGGACACATTTTGTCTCCTTGCTCTACTGGCTCAAATAGTGCCTAATCACTTGGCCTAAAACAGCTTGTAACTTTAACAAATAAACACTGAAATAAATCAGCCAGAGCTGGGGAGAGAGAGAAGGAGCTTTATCCTCAAAAAGCCCCAGGATCCTTCTATCTCGGTCAAGGCTTTTCAACCTTTTCACCCACTGTACCATTTTTAAAATATGGCAGTATCCAAGTACCCCCAGTCGCCTAGCAAGGTGTCAAAAACTTGATGACCCCCCCCCAAAAAAGGAAAAAAGGGATAAAGTATAGGTAGTCCTCGACTTACAACAGTTTGCTTAGTGAGTGTTCGAAGTTACAATGGCACTGAAAAAGTGCCCCCCAAGCCACAGCCGAGCAAGACACCTGCCTGCCCACCCAGCACGCTCTTCCTCCTGTCTGAGATTTCTATTGTTGTGAGCATTTCTGTTGAGGATTGACAGCGGGGGTGGGGTGGGGGTGTGTGTGGTTTTTATTCCCTCTGCCTGCTGGGTGGTTGCAGCAGGTTTTGGTCACTTCACATGACCCTGGGATACTGTGACCGTCATAAATATGAATCAGTTGCCAAGTATCTGAATGTAAATCACAAGACCCTGAAGAGGCTGCAACATTCCAGCTGAGTGGTGCTTCTTCTGGGCTCAGCAGAAGCCCCAGGATCATCACCAAGCTCCAGCTGGAGCCTGGCGCTGATCCTGGTGCTTCCACTGAGCCCTGACAGCCCTGCAGCTCCAACCATCTCTCGCTCAGGCTTGTGCGGTGCTGCCACTGGTTCAGCTCATTTCCCTCCCCCGCTACCACTTTTCTAGGATGGTCTGACAGGTGCCAATGTACCACAGGTGGTACCCGTACCATTGGTTGAAAAGCCCTGATCTAGGTCAGTGGTGGCGAATCTATGGCATGTGTCTGTGGACACGTGCACCGTTGTCCCAGCCTCGCCTCCCCCCATGGCCCCCTCCTCACTAGCAGCCCCCCAGAGAGTCACCCCCAGGCGTGGCCCACGCTAAGCAGCACAACCAAGGACATGGCAGCCAGGCAACGGGGACAAGACTCCGCCCTCACGCCATCGCATGCAGATAATGCTATGGGGTGCAAGCAAAGGCCATGGCCGCCATCATGCTGTGGCAAACTGTGGAGGTGGTGGGTGGCCCTGCGGGCAGGCGGGGGCAGAGGACAGAGCGGGAGGACGGGGCAGTTTTGGGGCACTCAGTCTCTAAAAGGTTCACCACGACTGATTTAGGTTGTTCTATGCTGGCTCAGGAATTTTGGGAGTTGAAGTCCACGAGTCATAAAAGAGCCAAGGTTGCCTATCCCTGTTCTAAGCTAATCTCCCCAGTCAGCCATATTGTTTCACCCACAAGGGAGAAGAGAAGAGCTTTGCAACGTGATCCAATCCATTTGTTCTTCTCTTTCTATAAATACAAGTAATCCTTGATTTACGACCACAATCAAGTTTAAACTTTATGTTGTTAAATGAGACATTTATTAAGTGAATGTTGTCCCAATTTACAGCCTTTCTTGTCTCAGTTGTTAAGTGAGTCACTGCAGTTGTTAAGTGAGTAACATAGTTGTTAAGTGAACCTGGATTCCCCATTGACTTTGCTTGCCAGAAGGTCACAAAAGGGATCACATAACGCCATAATAGAGCAAGCATCATAAATTTGAGTCAGTTGCCAAGCATCTGAATCTTGCCCACGTGACCACAGGGATGCCACAATGGTCGTAAGTGTGAAAAATGGTCATAAGTCACTTTTTTCAGTGCCGTTGTAACTTTGAACGGTCACTAAGTGAGCCGTTGTGAGGACTACCTGCATGAGGACCAGCTCCAATCCTTCCTTTTCCTTCCCCAGCCTTTGCTTACCTCAGTGGTTCTCAACCCGTGGGTCGGGACCCCATTTGGGGTCGAATGACCATTTCATGGGGGTCGCCAAACAACGCAGTCCGCCATTTTTTCCCCCTTTTCCTTAGCTGTGCTACTCCCTTTTATTCTATTGGCTTTTGAAAGCCAATAGAATAGACTCTCTTGAATAGACTCTTAAGTCTATTGGCTTTCAAAAGCCAATAGGAATTGTCCAGGCTGTCTCTGCCCTGCTGAGCCCGCCAAAAGTCCCATTCTGCAAACGGTGCTGCACCAGTTGAGTAGTCCTCGACTTATGACTGGTTGAGTAGTCCTCGACTTACGACCGGTTGGGGGTCGCAGCATTAAAAAGGTTGAGAACCACTGGCTTACCTGAAAGCAAAACCAGTTTTCTGGATTTGGCTGAGCGAACAGGATTCCAAACAAATGCAGATAAAACTCATTCCCACAGCCACACAATCTTTGAAAGACAAGCACTTGCAGAGAAAAGTAGCCATGCTAACATCTGCGCCCTCCAGCTGTACAGATTTATAAAGGCCTGTGGCCAGAATTGAACCATCTGCTGGACAACGTGGAGTGCAGCCAACATCAAATCAGTAAGATGCATTTGCACCAGTGGAGCTCGTGAAGCCAAGGAGTGAACGTACATTTTTATTTATTTGGGGGGGGGAGGGAAGGGGGTAGAGAAAGGTACATCCGAAAATGCTCCTCCACCCTTTCCTTTTGTTTCTTCCCCCTTGCATTGTACAAATGCTCACAGCAGTTATCAATTGTGAGTTTTGCCTTTATTTGAAATACCTTTATTTCAAAAAAAGGGGATAGAAAGCTATTTTAACTTACAAAGAGGACCCAAACTTGGTTCAGGAAATACAGGTGGTCCTCGATTTACAATGATTCATTTACTGACCGAAGTTGCAACGGCACTGAAAAAAGTGACTTATGATCGTTTTTCATACTTATGACCCTTGCAGCATCCCCAGGGTCACATGATTTACATTCGGATGCTTGATAACTGTTTCGTATTTATGGCGGCTACAGTGTCCCGGGGTTATGTGACCTTCTGGCAAGCCAAGTAAATGGGTAAACCGGTTTCATTTAACAACGGTGTTATTAATTTAACAACTGCAGTGATTCGTTTAACAAATGTGGCAAGAAAAGTGGTAAAATGGAGCAAAACTCACTTCACAAATTTCTCACTTAATAACATGTTGGGTTTGTTTGTGGCTGTAAGTTGAGGACTACCTGTACAGATGGTCCTCATTTAATGACCACTTGTTCAGCGACAGTTCAAACTTATCATGGTGCACTGCCACAGTTTGGGTGCAAGGCAACCAGTTTGCATTTTACAACAGTTTGCACTCTAGAGTTGTAGAATCCCACAGTCATTTAATCAACATCTGCAACCATACCTGCTGGCTTCCCACAAACAAAGTAAATGGGGAATCTGGCAGAGATGTTCGCACATTATTCTAGCTAGTCCCCACTCCTTCTGTTACGAGTACAAATTAGGCGAGACCTGGCTTAAAAACAATAACTGTGAGAAGGAGCTTGGAGTCCTAGTAGACAATCCCTTAAACCTGAGCCAGCAATGTGCAGCAGCAGTCAAAAAAGCTAACACAATTCTTGGTTGTATAAACAGAGGCACAGAAGCAAAATCACGTGAAGTATTAGTACCGCTTTATAAAGCTTTAGTAAGGCCATACTTGAAATCCTGCATTCAGTTTTGATCACCACATTACAAAAACGATGTTGGGACTTTGGGAAAAAGTGCAAAGAAGAGCAATTAAGATGCTTAAAAGGCCTGCAGACTAAAACTTATGAAAAA